ATGGAGCACATTTCATGTCTCATGAGTTAAGTGGATGAGGTGAAAATTCTGAGATGACAATGACTTATCATGGGGATTGTTTTCATAACATACCTTAGGTTGCTCACATTCTGAGGTGTCAAGTTCAAACGGAGTCGTCATGTATTAGTCAAGCAATCAGTATGGCCACTTCTCAAGTAGAAATGAAAGTAGAAATGAAAGCAAATATTGCAACGAGTTTCCATATTGTGATTTAATAGGTCAGCAAAATCATGATCAAGTAGATTGTTTTAAAGGAAGTAATGTTGTAGATGGGAAGTTGGACAATGCCATGGATAAGGCGTTCTAAGGTGATGCAAATTTGATTGATACAAAAATTGCTGCGAATTCCATTAAGTCTAGTAAAGATGTTAATGGGAAAACATGTAGAGCTTGGGAATTCATGAGCAAGGCAGAGGACGAGTTGTTATCAAATTGTCAGTCCTTACTAGATCATTGCATGGCTGGCGAAGGGTTTGAACTTAGTGATGATAGAAATTTTGGAGATTTGATTGTTAAGAAGTGTCTGGAAGAGAGTAATGTGAAATTTCTTTGTGCAAAAAATCACAATGAGGTTCACACACCAATGTCTTCTGAAATGCCAGCCAATGGTGTGTCACAAGATGCTCTTGCTTGTACCATGGGACCTGAATCTTATCATAGTTCTGAAAATATTGTAATACCAAAGGAATCAAAGCTGGAATTGAAGCCTAAGGACACTAGTTGTGTTGCTTACGAATTTTTTGTAAAATGGGCAGGTAAATCAAACATGCATAACAGCTGGGTTTTAGAAGATTAGTTAAAAGTTCTAGCAAAGAGAAATCTTGAGAATTGTAAAGCAAAGTATGGAGTGTCTATCATAAATATATGTGAAGAACAATGGTTTCGGCCACAACGTATTATTTCTTTGAGTGAACCTAAAAATGGTGGAGGAAAAGCTTTGGTTAAATGGTGTGGCCTTCCTTATGATGAGTGTACCTAGGAGGGATTTGATGAATCTGGTATTCAAAATGCTTCTCATATTTTTTCTGAACTTAAACAATTTGAATCTCATATTTCAGACAAGGATGCTAGGGTTGACAGTGATTTAGCATTTTCAGATGCTGAAATCAATGTATCAATAAGCAATGGTTGAAGGAAAAAGATCGCGAGAATTCTGGATGACACCTAGCTTGGGGAAGAAACAAAGGCAAAAATAGCAATTGAGAATGACTGACAAGAATACGTAAGATTTATGCAAGCACAAGCTGGTAAGAAATCCTATGACAAAACTAGCAGAAATTAACAGAAGCACTTCAACAATTGAAACTCTCAGAATGCTTGATGATCCAGGAGGACTATTATGTGGACAATACCTTCGTTCCACCTTGAGGACAAGGTGTATTTTTTGGGAGGGAGTATTGATACACTTTTTTTTTTGCACGGGGGCTGGAGCTTTTTAGGTAGGTAGAGAGATTTTCTTAGAAAAAATTCTAATTAAAGAAAATTATTTAGGAAGGTTCTTAATCAAGGTGGGAGTTTAGTAAAATTTTCTAATTGTGTTTATACTATTTAGGAATTGTTTAATTGTTTAAGAATGTGATGGGAAACTAAATGCGATAGACAAGAATTGCAATTAAGATATTAATCAAGTGGTGAACCTTGCTTTGCTACCAATAAACTATTTGTTTACTCAAGTGAAGTTTTAAGAATATGGCATTGAAAGATTAAGTAATAACAATTGATTACAATTTGAGATTAGTAGGACTTGCAGAATAACAACCAATGATTAGTAGGTAATGCAAATAGCAAATGTAACAAAAGCCTCAAGTTTAAAATCTAGATCCCTCACCTAGAGATCCTTCACTCAGCTCTTGAAAGTGGAGGTTAGCGGAGGAGGATTGCGAGCACGCTTAAGGATGCCACTATCACACAAGTGATGCCGAGAGGACTAGTCGCCGGGGAAGAAGTCGGATTTGGGGAAGATGGTGGACACCCGTTGATGATCCAATCGTCTGCCGGAAGTTGCTCGTCGATGACGTCCAAGAGGGTGGGAAGAATACGGTTCAAGTAATCCTCGACGGTGTGGTCAAAGCCGAACCCACGTCAAAGAATGTCGATCGGACCTCGTCAATGTCTCCTTGAAAGTCATATACAAATCCTTGATCACGCTCCGGATCCGCCATGCATTCTTGACGGGAGGTGAAGGAGCACGGATGGAAAGAAGAGGTGGCAGTTGGAGGGGGAATTCGGTTAGATCCGGGGGAGGAAAAGAAATTTTATCCCAAATCAAAAATTAATTTCAGATTTTGAGTAAAAAAAAGAGGGAAACTAATTTGAATTTTAAATTCAAATTAATTAGAGAGAGAGGCCTTTAATGGGGCAAAGCCCATGTTGGGCCGGCGGGATGAAGAGAGAGAGGTTTGGAGTAATTTGATTTTAATTTCAGCTTAAGTGAATTTGGAGGGAAGCCTTGAAATTAAATTCAAATTTCAAAAGGGGTTTAAATGAGAATTAAATTGGGGGGGGGGGGGGCATTTAGGGGGGGGGGGGGGGCAATTAAGGGGTGAGGCCGGCGGCACCATGAGGGGGTGAGGGGTTGTGGGAAAGATTTTACAAAGTTTCCAATTTAGATTTGCCACGTAAGAAAGAGAATAATCAATCCTCTTTAATTTAAAATTAAATCGGATTTGAAATTAAAACTTTCCTTATTTTGAACTTGGCAAATAATGCAAGTTTTTGAAATTCAAATTTGAATTTCAAATGATGGACAACCTTCCTTTCTTGTTTGGCTCAGTCTTGGGAGTCATCATGATGTTTGGATTCATCATGATGGTGGGGATTTGTGTGAGGGGCGGCGGCCAAGGAAGATTGTCGTGGAAGTTGTGGTCGGGTGGGAGGAGACGGGCTTGGATGGTGGTCCGGCTTGGGGTGAAGGAGCTAGGGGAGGACTTGGGTGGATGAAGTTAAACAACCGGCGGTGGGGATGAAGGAAGGGGTGGTGGATGGAGGGGGAGAAAAGAGATGAAAGAAATATACAAATAAGATAAAAGTAAACTAACGAACTCACAAAGAGATCATAAGAACCGCGAACCTTGGACTCTTCCAAAGATTGACGGGTACTGCAAATCACCCTCCTCGGGCTTCTCCTCTCATGAACTCACTAAGAGATCAAGCAAGAACAAACTCTTTTTCATTCAATAATTCATCATCCCCAAATTACAAGAAACTAGCCTATAAATAGGCCTCATGAAAAGAAAAGAGGTAACGACTAAAATGCCCTTCGGGCTACACAACACTACATGACCACCCATAAGGGTTAAAAGGGAAAAACAACAAAATAAAATAAAACACATAAATAAATAGAGATCATAGCCGTTGATCTCCGATGTCCTGATCAGAATGTTTCCTAAAATATGTTTAATTGTTTAGGGAGGTTTCCTAAATCATGTTTAGGATTTTTCTAAATCATGTTTAATTATTTATGAATGTTTCATAAATTATATTTATGTTGATTATAAATGTTCTATATATTTAGAAAGGTTCCTAAATTATGTTTATGCTAATGAGGAAGGTTCTAATTGTGTTATGGTGTTTTAGGGCTATTTAAGGGGGAGTTTGTCCATGGTTTAGGGAAGATATTGCTGAGTTTATTTTTTTAGTATTTGTTGTGAGTTCCTAGCGGTTTCTAGGATTTGTGGTAGAGTTGATCTACCTCTCTGAGTAGTAGATCAATTGTTTCTTGCTTTATTATTGAAGGAGCAATAAGAAAATCAGCAATATCTTTATATTACTATGATTTTTTTCTCTTTTATTTATTGTTTTTACTTCCAAGGTGTATCACTTATGCTGCAGTTTCTTGTTTTGTTCTGTTTGAAGTCTATTGCAAGAACTTATGGTTCATTTATTTTGGGCATGATAATGGCTCATTAAATTGGGGGCCTTGAGTGCATCAGGAGCATGCAAATGAACACAACTTAAAACATAACATCTCGGGAGCACGCGAATGGAAGTCTGTGTTGATTATTGTGATGATGGCTGACAAAATAGTGTATATGATTTCTTTCGGATATGATAAACCAGGAGGCCAAGATTGGACTATCTTGATGAAAGACACTAAGGGTTCAAAAGGTCCAATGGGGACCAATAGCATCTCACAAGTGGGCTTATGGGTTGACTTCGCAGCATGTGGAGACGAGTAGTAATGTTGTTGGAAGAATGGGAATTAAGTCGGCCTGGAGGTAGGATTCCCTTTCGAATGGAAGGACGAATGCTTGGACAAAGCCCAAATTCTTCCATGTCAATCAGATGGAGGATCTTTCAACAATTACTAAGGATGGAGTGATGGAAGGATGATGAAATGCATATCCGCCTGAGTTTTCTTCTTTGATGAGAGAGGAATGTGTGGTTAAAGGCACACTTAATTATATTTTGTTCTTTTTTCCTTTAATGCAAAATTTCAGAACTAAAAGATATTCTGGTTCTTTTTGAATGGCAGCTTAAAGAATTTTTTATTGTTTGGGTTAGGAGATTGGTTGATTTTTTTAATGTTTAATTAGACATGCAATATAACTGTTTCCTGTTTGCGGTGAAAGAAGAGATCACAGTGGACTAACCATCTAGGAGTATTAACTTAAATTGGCTTTCCTTTCTAAATTTGTCAGAAAGTAGAGGGTGAATCATCTTTTGGACTATGATTTATTAGTATAGATTTGCAAATTTTCTTTTTCTTGGAAGCCATCTTCTTTAATGAGGACTTATTTTCTTGATAAGTATCAGGCATGAGGCAAGCTATGCATTCTTACTGTTAGAATATATCATATTTTCTTTCATGCACGGAAACACTTTTTTTGGTGATTTGTCGTTTGATAGAAATTCTTCATTTTATATATTATTTATAGTTTTTTTAAGGTTATCTATTTCATTACGCCATCAAAAAATAGGAAACATTTATGCTTTCTTAATCTTCCTGCTCGTTAACTCAACTTTATGATCTTATGCAGGGTGTTCTTTTGCTTAATACTGTACTTACTGGTACGCAGCTCCATCTTTCATGTTCGTCATTCTTTATCAGTTGCATTTACTGATTATATTATTTATATGCTCTCTTTTCTTGTGATCCTATTTTTTTGGTGATGCAAATTTAAATAGGCATACATATAGATGCAAACTATCTTATGTACCATCTATCAGTGGAGTGTATTAAATTTGCATAGATTTGCTTGATATCACGGGGACAAGATCGTTGTCCCTATAATAAATGAATGCTAGGTTACATTGACATGGAGAATTTGGCAATGCATCAAAATCAATAAGCCTGAGAGGATAATGATGATGAAATTATTTGAATTGCTGACCTGAGTTATTATCACATTTAATAGGATGGTTATCAAAATAGAATACTTGAAAACCTATCAGTGTGAATGCTTGGGCATATATCTAAAGTTTTTGGGAAATTATTAAGACTTGCAGCGGCATTGAATGTCTTCAAGGCAGGAAGTGGTTTTTGTAACGTAGAAAATGGTATGTTTTCACTTGTATCAGCTGCTGAAAATGGGAGAAGCGGAGCAGGAGTGATAGAGTTAAGCAAATGTTAACCTACAACAATCCTAAACTGCCAAGCTACTCTAACGAGGTTCCTAATGCTGTCCATTGTCCCACGAAAACTCAACTAAGGGTTTCCACCAGCTGATGCTAGAGTGTAACCATCACTAGTAGCTTCAGGAGCTTGGCAGTGCTTTGAAATAATATGACTGGATGATAAAGCTAAATACTTGTTGAACATTGGGTTGGATCCATTGGAAACTTTAAGGAGAAAGCAGAAATCAAATGAGAATGAGTTCATGATGGGGGTAGGTGAGGTATTTATTTTGAAAGTGGAAGTTTAGTTTGGTTTAGTTTGAGCGACGTCCAGTAACTGATTTTGGGCCATTGGTTTCAAGATTTAATAAACAGACTCAAACTGAGACTTTACTGCATCTGGTCTGAAATAACTGCTTAATGCTATTCTTGGTCATTTATTTGGGCCAAAACTTATGCTTTTATATGAAGTGATTTAAAATTTGGATAAACTCTTCATTACTTTGTATATTCACTGTGTATAACACAAGGAAAATATCATATGATGTTTTTAGGATCACCCTTATCCCAACTTCTAGGTGCCTGATACGCCCTAGGGTTTCTCAATAGATATTCGTCTTCAATGATAAGAACTTCTCCACCAAATCAAGACAAACACAATCTCAAAAGTAATGGAAAGAAGAACAAAGCCTTTTGCATTAAAATCAAAGCAAATAACAAGATAAGTTTGTCCACTTCAAGAAGGACAAGGTCTCCCACTACAAACCCTAGGAACTAGTAAACAAGAAGAAGCAAAAGACTATTTTCAGCATACCCCTCAATGAACCCTAAAGACTCATCTTAATACTTTCCCAAAACCCTCACATCCCTACATTACCCTTTGCAAATCCACCCTACATCTCCCCATGAAGCTTGCGCCCCATCCATTGTGGCCCTTAGATCAAAATAGGTGGGCCCAAGGCCCCCCCTTGGCTATCGGCTGAAGGAGCGGGCGGAGGAGGCGGAACCCGCCTCCTGTAGACCCGTGAGGGTCTATTTGGATGGACCGGTTCAGGGTGAACCGTTCCATCAATACCGCCCTCTAGAAGATCAACCTTGTCCTCAAGGTTGAACTCTGGAAATTGCTCCCGCATGGCTTCGTATATCTCCCATGTAGCCTCATGTGACGGGTAATCCTTCCATTCAATGAGCACCTCCTTGTTGCCTTGATCATTCTTCCTTACTTCCTTCACCTGTAGTGGCTCTAGTAAGAATTGCCTAACTCCTGCGAGGTCCTGGGGTAGAGTAGGAGTGGCCACAGTATGATCCCCTATGCACTTCCTCAATAATGATGCATGGAATACAGGGTGGATGGAGGAATGAGGAGGTAACTTGAGTCGGTAGGCCACCATCCCAACTTTCCCTTCTATCTCGAATGGCCCATAGTATCGTGGAGAAAGCTTCTCACTCCTTCTGCTGGCCAAGGTCTTCTGTCGGTAAGGCCGTAGCTTTAGGTACACCATTTCCCCTACTTCAAATTTCACATCCTTGCGGTGAGCATCCGCCTTAGTCTTCATGATCTGCTGGTGTAACATCAGAAATCTGCTCCAGGATCGTCCAGGACGATCTGGATCGTCCTGGGACGATCAGTTGATATGCAGCTCCAGAATTTGTCCAGAAGTGTTCCAGGTGATTTCCTGTAGGTATCGTCCAGGCCGATCGAGGACATCGGCCAGGACGATGGGCACTGTAGAAAATATCGGCCAGACAACAGCCCTGGGAGCTGTCCAGGACGATCCATTTGGTCGGATCGTCCCGGGACGATCTGGATATCGTCCAGGACGATGTAACTGTTCATAAGGATCGGCCGTGCAATCGTCCTGGAGTATCGGCCAGGATGATCTTGTTTGGTCTGATCGTCCAGGACGATCTGGCGATCGGCCGGGCCGATATGAAGATTATAAAGCTGATTTCAGCTCATTTGAAGAGAGAGAAAATATTTTATAAATATCTGATTTTTCTGAGGAGAGAGAAAGTCGAAGAAGAATTTGGAAAAGTTGATTTTCGGACGACGCGGAGCCGTTTTCATCCGACGAGACTGTTCAGGATATTGCTGTGCACGAGGTAAGGCACATTCCGCCTTTCTCAATTTTCAGTTCCGTCGCGTTTGGCGGTATTTTCTGTCCGGATTTTTGTTTCCGTTACGGTTTTTCGTCCGTATCTTTTGATTGGTTCAGTTTTTACCGCGTAACTTTCCGTATATTGTTGACGTGCCGAGTGTGCACATTTTGGTTATTTTCCGAAGATTTTTGTCCGGGTATTTTTGATTCGGCGGAGTTTTTCGTAGACTACAATTTTCTGTGAAATGGTAAATTCTCTGTGCAGTAGAATAAATGTTCTGGAATGCAATTATCTATATTCTGTGCGAATTTGGTAAATTTTCTTTGCAAGAAATTTTGTGTAAAATTCTGTCTACTGCCGTTGTGCTGCCCGATTTTTGTCTGATTTCTGA